TGGCGGAGATTGGCGAAAACACCTCGAGCTTTTGTTATACAGTACCTAATCTCAGCTTTGGTCCCACGGGCGCTAATATAGTTGTCTAGGTACTTGAATCATTGAACGACTTCTAGCTGATCACCAACAAACGTCAACGCAGAGATGGGTCCATGGCAATCTTGCGAAAGAACTTTGCATTTCTATGGAGCAAAGCATACCCCAAAGCGATTGACAACCAGTGCAGCCTAGCACCTTTGGGCGCTGTCACATATAAGGGCAATGTCGTCCGCATATTCCAAGTCAAAAAGTCGCTCACCAGAAAGTAACTCCACGCCTTCTCGATCGTGTCCTGCTAGCCCTGTTTCCATGACTTCATCAATAGCGAAGTTGAAGAGGAAAGGTGACTTCGGGCAGCCTTGCCTCACACTGCTGGAGATATTGAAGGGCTGCAACAGTTTGCCATAAACTCTCACTCTGCCCGAACTATGCGCGTACAGCGCTTTGATGATGTATACATATTTATCAGGCACACCTTTTCTCAGCAGACAGTCCCAAAGGGCACCTTTGATGTAGAAAAACACGACAATGATGGGTCGCCAATAAACATGACGGTGCTCCAACGATTGACGCAAGGTGAAGATGTGGTCGATGCAGCCTCTATTTCGACGAAATCCGGCTTGCTCTTCACGGATCTGGCCTTTACGAGCGCCAGTCAATCTGTGGAGAACGACAGAGGCAAGCAAGTTATAGGCAATTTAGATCAGACTGATCCCTCTATGGTTGACGCATTCCGAACGGGAGCCGCACTTGATAATTGGGACTATGACGGAGCGTCTCCAGTCTGTCGGGACAGTTTCCTGCTCCCACAGTTTCACTAACAACTCATGTAAATCATCAACATCAGCAGGTCCCCCGAATTTGTAGAGAGCTGGAGGAATTCTATTAGCACCAGCGGCCTTATGAAATCTCAACAGTCTGAGCTCACATTCGAATTTTGTGCGTAAGGGTGGATCTAAGGAGAATTCCCATCGAGAATAGCACTCAATGCCCGAAAGAGAAAGCGATGTCGGATTGATTAAACTGCCTTGCAGTGTTCGGCCCAACGCTCCAAGCGTTTTGAGAAGCCGTGGATCAGCTGTCCACTCTCGTCGCGTATTGTCTCCCCAACAACAGGTCTCCTGCTGCCTGTTTCCAGTATCAGACGGAATAATTTACGATCCTTACCAACGGTTGCGGCTGTTTCCTTTTCCGATGCACGATGAGACCACCAGGCTTTGCGGTCTCTTTTCAGGCTAGCACACTGTTTTCCCTGAGATTTTTGCGAGTCTCATTGTATTCGTTTTCAGCCGGAATGCGTCGGCGAGCCTCCTTAGGTTCCAGAGACTGTAGAGACCCAATGTCTAGGTTGGCAATTTGCTTTGCCACATGAAGACATGCCTGCTGATAGTAACATTTGGCGCGCATGCGACCAGTGATCTTTGACGGAGTTCAGTGAACGCTTACTCAGCCCAGCGTATTTTGATGCACATTCAGAACACCTGGCTTCGCCAGCTGGCTGGTGTCAATGCACTCAGAGTGACGTTGCGGATGTATGCCGAAACGCACCCGCAGATCAGCACACACGAAAGCGTGAGCAGAGTCCACGCTGGTGCTCCACATCGAGCGACAGTTTTGGACACAGCCTCTCCAGCGGTAACTAATCGCGATGTGATCGATTTGCGTCCGAGGCTGGTGGGCGCGATGTCACTCTTCTGCGGGTGCTATGTCGAAAGTTAGTCCTCGCGAGAACGAGGACAATTTTCCGACTTGTGCGTTTAGATCAGCAACAAGCACCATAGTATCCGTGCTTCTTCTGTAACGAATAAGATCATTAAGTTGGTGATAGAAATCATCTTTCATCGAATCAGGGCTGCAGTTTGTGGGTGCCTAAGCCGCATTGACAAACAGGCACCGTTTGTCGCCGCACGACTTCGAAAGTGAACTTGGAACGGGACGTTAAGAATGAAAAAGCGCAAGAGGGGGAATAAGAAGGCGGGCAAGCAAACACAACGACTCCAAATAGCCAGTAGGGATAGCGAAATGATACGTTTAAACAGCCATCAGTGAACCACCAGTGCAGAACGAAAGTCTGCAGTCATGAACGGTTACACAAGCATACCTGTCTTTTTTGCTCTAACAGTGGTTTTCCACATGTGTCAGTCCTTGGGCCTGAACTCTTCAGCAACAACTTGCCTACCACACTTGTGATCGGTTGTTTGATCTATGCGGATGACCTGAAACTATGGATGGTGGTATCCAGTCTGGATGATGCCGACATATCACAATTGCCGCTCGGTTTACTGCACGACTGGTCGGCCAAGTGGCAATTGCCATTGAGTCACGACAAATGCCCCGTTTTTCTAATTGGCGCTTCTGAACCCTTCGGGGCCTGTCATATTGATGGATTCCTACTCAAAAATGCTTATCAAAAGAGAGGCCTCAGCATACTTCTGACTTCTGACCTAAGGCCAACTCAGGACACCTTGAAGAGCATCGCCTCCGTCAGCAAGATGTTCCATGCTATACGAAGAGCCTTTTCCAGATTGTCGCCAGAGGTCTTCAAGCTTTTGGTTGCCTCCAATCTGAGGCCGGTTCTCGGGTACTGATTGCTTGCCGTCTATCTTCTCACGAGGGCTGAATGCAGCCTGAGTGAGAAGGTTCAGCGACGCTAATCGAAACGTGTCTTGGAGTTGCGGAATCTCCCTTATCCACTTCAGCGAATAAACCTGTTCTCCCTGGATTATCGCGCTGGAGATCTAGTATTCACTCGACGTATTTTAAGAGGAGAGCTGATCTTCAAGGGTTCTTTTGGCTGAATTCTGAGGGCGTGACTCATGGGCATAGCTGGAAGCTGTTTAAACCACGGATGCTTCGAGTATATACCAAAATTGCTCTGTCTACTCGTGTGGCAAACGACTGGAACTCCTTACCCCAGCAAGTCTTCGATGCGCACACAGAGGAAAGTTTCAAACAACTGTTGGATTTCCATCTAATGATTCAGCTAATTCATCATTGCCACTCTCAAACAGAAGGCTTAGACTAGTCTGGAAAAACACCAGACGCCGGCTTTTCGACCTTCTGGGTCTCTTCCGTGGTGCGCCTCCCAGCGGACCCCATGCCGGATTCCACCCCCATAACTTCTTTATGCCAGCAGCTAGTGTCACTTCGCCATTAGTGGCAGCCGCGGATCTGCTTGATTGACAGTTCCATCTGATGCATATGCCTGGGTCTTTCTGTTTTCATCCCGACTCCAACCCTCCTCCCATGTGGGATCCCATTTCCTAAAGGATCGAGGCGTCCACACAATGATCAGGAAGTGATGGAGCTGACAAAGCGTCTCCCTTCTACTCTCTACAATCCAATGAAAGGACAGTGCACTTCCAGAAAGGTTCGGTTGCATGCGTACTCGTCCGAATCCGGGCGCGACATTAACCCGAAACCTTTTTTGGGTGTTGCTCTCTCCTCATTATGCTACTGCGGCTGTTTCTGCTAACACTCCATTTAGCCTGTGTGCTCAGCTGTTTACCATGTACGATTGCTTCTGAAGTGAACTAGTGAACGCGATATTTTAGCTATCTCCTTAATCTTCGGTGGTGATCAGCCGTGGTTATCTAGCTGTTGCTTTCGATTCGTGGGGCCTCTGGCTCTAAGTAGCCATCTGCCACCTCAGACATTTCGTCCTCCGCGTTTTAGACAAACTCCCATTTTATCCGCTCTTACATAGCAGCGAGATACTTCTAACGAATGCCCCATTATGCCGTTTACATTGATTTCACTGGTAAACGAAGACAGTCGAGTAGGTGTAAGGGCTATGCTTCCCATTGGGTATGAAGCCGTCGGCTATACGTCATGCACCCTAGCGTTCAACCTGATTCACTCATAACCACGGCTACTGTTTGTTTGCAACTTACACACCTGCTTCCGTAGCCTACAACTGTCGTAACATGATCATATGATATATACTCCACTTAACCTTGCTTGGTTGTGACGATGCCAGCCCACCGACTCCCGCGACGTGCGTTGTTTGTGCGCCGGGGGTGTGCATGGAAGAAGAGGAGAGGTGGCCAAGCGATGACTTGGTCGAGAGGAATGAAGGCCCTCACTTGGAGCGTCTCGGCTCCCTGGCTGGCGTCTGAAAGACGATGAACACGTTTGGTTGGATACACTTGTTCATATGGCTAGGAGCTGACCTCAGTGGCGTTCGTACGGTGAGTTTCTTTGTCCCACCCCATCCCTCTTAGCCTCCCCCTCCAACCACTATCTCATTATTTAACCTCATATAATTTTGCATAGTAATTTTTTTGATGCACAGTAGCCGGTTGGTAGCTTACCGGAACGATGCCCATCCGTTACCGGTAGCTCAGCTGGCTTGCACCTGTTGCATTTTATTCCCTTTTTTCTTCTAGGTATTGCGCCACAGTAGCTGAGGTGTTTCCCACCTCTAGCTAACGTGTATAGTGTGTGTGTGTGTGTGGTTGTGAAATTGATATACCTGGATACCTTTCCCTTTTACTTGATTTACCACCCTCAGCAACAGCATGATTAATTGCTTTAGCCATCGATTTAATCATCCTAGTCGACATTCAGCCCAACTTGACACATTTCGCAGGTGTTCCATGCTATTTAAATGTCTGAGTCTGATGAACACTTGCTGATTTTTCGAACGCGATACCGCCGCTGCTGTTGGTGCTATCACTTGCAATCAATTTGCATATTAAATGCCTGATATCCTGAAACTACCCCACCGATTTGCCCCAATCGACTAACCGGTCTCGCATAAACCTTGAATTTCGAACTAGTGTTCATGTGTCTCGGGTATTCGTTTACAGTTATTCTGCGACTTTATTTATTCGTTACATTCAAATGCGAATATCCTCCTCCTTGTGCTTTTGGTAACTCTTTGTATTTGCGCCCTAAACCCAGTTTCTCTTAACCACTTTACATCTATCGTTGCGTCAATTTCTCCGCGTCTTTTCCAGAGGACCATACTCCGTTTTTACGGATGTCTTCAAGTCAAAACCAACCTGTCGGTAACCTCAACTTTCCGTGTCTTACTGCTCGCGACACAGAGGGTTTTTCACGCTATTCCAAAGCCTTTGAATGCCATCTCCCACTACATACGCAAACCGTTGGTTAGGCCACTGTGCCTTTCCATGAATGAACAAGTTCCCCAACTAATCGCGGAGCAAACCAATTCGCCGAACATTGACACTGTTTATGTCTACCGTTCGAGCAATTCGGGTGACAGTCGCATTGAATTTGAGCTATATGTCACACTCTCCTCTCCTAACAATTGGAGTACCCGGATACGGCTGAACAGATTGAGTTCGGAATCGGTATCCTCATTTCTTGATCGGCTCACTCTTTCTGTTCTGAAAGCTTTTCAACATAAGCTGAGAAAAAAATCTTCAAAGCTGTCTGACTGCTCCACAGATCTGTCTCAATTTGGTGCATTTAAAGCAGAGCTCCTCAAATCGCCTTCTACCGATAGTAACCCGATGCTAACTCCTTCGCATGTGGATGAAACACTGTGTTTGGAAGAGGTGTTTTTCGCTTTCCCATCGTCTACCAATCCCGCTGGAGATTTAACGTTTTGGCTTCGTCTCATTGGCCCGTCTCAAGAAATGAAATTGTACAAAGTGGTTCGCAATCCCGCCCGTGTGATCAACTGCCGTTTACGTACTCTACCAATGGTTGGATGTCCTCTTGTCCCCTTTCTTGAAACGGATAATGCTAGTTTAACGCGATCTGAGTTTTTATGGTTCCTCACCCGTGTAAGTACCTTTTCTGTGTTCCAAATTCCAATATTTTAGCGTATCCGTCTCTATCTGAACTGCACCCCGGCGTATGGCGTACCATCACATTTAGGCATTGTTACCCGGTAAACTAACTTGGACTAGAGTCATCGAGGTAGGACTTGCTTTCTCAGTTTCACTCGAATGTTCATGGCAGTGACATTTAGTGCGTCCACTATGCGTTATCGTGAGCCTCATTTCTGGGGTAGTTTGAGACTCGCTTACATGCAACCGGAAGTTGATGTTGCCTTGTTTTCCAGCTTAAATGTTTAAACTGGATGGTCTCATCTGATTGCAATTATTACTGCAGTGTGAGTGTGAAAACAGTCTTCCGCTCTTTGAGACAAACTTGTCCGTGTATGAATAACGCCGCTGGTGTAGTAAACTAGACATCTTCATGTCCCCTTGATGTGGGCCATTCATCTGGTCTAGTCATGTCGCTTTCCATACTCATCCTTTGTTGTTCCAACTCGATTGATGCTGCCTACCGTCGACCACTTGTCTCTGTCCATCGAGTGTTGGTTGCGCAACTGTTGCCAATTGGTTTGCGCTACCGCTCGCCTCAAATCAAGCAACCTGAGCAATGCCGTCGTCTTCAGTAGATACTTTGCGTTGTGTCTTTGCTCCTATAAAATCGTTAGAGTATTCATCGGGAACAGTACTGAAGTGGACCTGATTCAGATCACAGACGTGCTAAGCAAACGTCCAATCGCAAACCATTTGCCATCGTGTGTGACGTAGGCGGCAGTGTCTAGGTAGTTGCCGTGTAATTTTCACTGTCCTGTCACCTAGCCAACCTTATCCTATAAGCGACTACATTGGCGGTTTGTAGACAACGGAGTTTTTTTATAGCGCGTTAGGTGAACTACATTTGACACGGAACGTCATCATTATTACACTTTATCTGAAGGCGTGTATTACTACAAGAAACGGATGCAACAGTGATCGGATTCCACCGAGACAGCCTAAGGTCATGGTTTGAGAAGTGTTATGTAAGTAGGCCGAATACTGATTCATCGCAGTTAAGCTCAACCAGACGGCCACCGCACATCCAGGAAAACGATAGACGGCCGTTTCGTTCCATTGCATGGCCGGGAAAAGTGGGCATATCGCGTTGCACCACTAAGATTACCAGCTTAAAGTAAAATAACCAAGCAGGCGTTCACACGTTTTACACATAATCATGATATTGACAACATTTATGATTTCAGGATAATTTTTTGGAAATGGTGTTACTGCAAAAACGCAATCATCTTATTACGGTCTTTCTTAATGATAACTGTGACATAAACATTTCACTGACAGCATATTGCTAGTCAAATTTATATTGCTCACGGCTATTGTAAGCAGGTTGTGACATCTTCTTAATGATGTTTTTCAACTGAAATATCATCAATGTTATCCTTTTCTGGAAAAACGTAGTAGGATCCAACCAGTGATTTAGTCCTTTGGTGTTTTAATATCAAGTCCCAAGAACTATGCACATTATTTTTACCTTCATATTTAACTGAAGCCCAGTCCCCAATGATGATATTGCATACATCTTCATCATTGCTCATTAGTTTACTTTCTCTAGTCTGCTCCTTATCTGTCGACAAGTTAAGGATGTAATTACCATTCTTTTTACTTGTCTTTTTAGATTTCTCGACTTTTCTTTCCATTTCTTCGTTAAGAACTCTGGCCGATTATTCCTGTTGTTACCACTTCTCCAGGCATTGTCTGAACTCTTTCCTTTTTTCGAGCATTTCCCATGGCTTCCAAGTTAAGGGGCGAGCACGTCGGTGAAATCGTTTTTATTATTGCTTGCTACAAAACCTTAACGGTGGTTGTCCGAAGTTATTCGTAACTGGTTGTGGCGTCTCAGAAGTGTTTGGTTGCGGATCACCAACTGCATTTCTTTGTCCCCTTGTTCCACTGCTGTAACGACCTAACCATTATCCACAGAAGTTCGGCCGGTGGCCGAGTGGTCTGCATGTTTGCTTTGCAATCATAAGGTCACCGGTTCAAATCCGCGCAGGGGTGGGCGTCCCCGCGGTGTACTCAGCCCGCGCGCGACTGGTGGTGGTCGCGCGGCAGCGAAGCGCCGTACCGGCGTACAGCTGACACATTATTATTATTATTTATTATTATTATCCACAGAAGTTACAATTTTGTGCTGAACAGCTTCTCTATAGGCACAATCTTCATGTATTTTAGTCTCTGACTATTAACTCACATTAGAATGTAACCGTTAAGGCAGGATGAGAGTTACAAATAGCACCTAACAAAATATCTTCAATATAGACTGCAAAATGTGTACCGGATCTAAGTTTTTCGGAAACCATTTTTTAACTATATATATATATATCAAGCCCAACTTTGCATTCGTTTCCGCTGGATCATGCGTTGCTCGCGGATCTCAGTGGCATAGTACCCATGGTGTCAACCATGAGCCACTAGGCTCTGAGTTCCAGCCCAACTCAGGCTATCTCCAACTGATGCGTCCCAACCAGGACGAAACCGCGGTCTTGGGGTGCCAGTGTTAGGGTGAGCAACACTATAATGTTTCCATTCATCTTGTTTTGTCTGCAAACTCAAAGAAAAACTTTCGCTTCTCAATACTATGTAGCGCACACTAGTCTATCTTAACTATTCACTTGGCTGCAAGTTAAGTTTTACTTGCTAGTCTAGGCACATGGCAGCCGTAAACAAGATGACGGAGCTCCCTGTCTTGTGGCAGCAAACCAAAACATTGTCACGTTATGCAACATAGTTATTAAAATCATTCAACTTCAATACAACTCTACCAGGATTTATACAATTTCAAACAATTATTTAATACAAATTTTAATCTATTTGTATATTTATTTAGCCCATTTAACCCCAGGGGACCCTATCTTCCATATAGAAGAAATGAGACGTTCCCAAACACCCCTGCCATGACTGCTATATGGTGCGTTGAATATCCATTCACATTTCCTTTCGTCCTGGGACCGGTGTAGCTTGTCCTGATTCCACAAGTGTAACAATATCCTAACTGGCTTTCGGCCCCACGAAAATCCAGTCCATTATCTGTGTTGCTCCTTGATGGAACGCTGCATTGTGAAACATATCGAGAAAACACAAACACAGAAGATGGTCTGTATCCATAGGACGGGTAGTTTCAATGTGTGCTGCTGTCGTTAAAACAGGTAAAAAAATAGGTGCCAGCAGTATGCCGGTACGCAGTACGAAGGCTTCGCTGCTGCACAACCACCAACGGTTGCGCGTGGACTAAGGATACCGCGAGGGTCGCCCGGTGCCCTACGCATACTCGAACCCGCGTCTTCGAATTACGAGGCAGGCTTGTGATTCTTTGGGCTACCGTGCAGCACTAAGACAGGTTGATACGCAGCCATAACGCTTTGCCATTGTTCATCTTTGCCATACAAATGCTGATCCAAAATAGTCGACATCAACTGCTGTAAACCCCGGTTGAAATGCTAAACAACGGGAACATCTGCTCTCCGCAAAGCTGAACATTCCTAGATCTTGCAACGCGAACAATCTGTCATAGTCTTCCGGACTGCTGAAACACTACGTAAGGTCCAGCCGCGTTGGCGTAGTTCAGAGAGCACGTAGCAACCGCCGACATGCTCACCCCATGATGAGGGGGCGTGTCATAAAATGTCCAGCTGACAGTATACTGAATACTGTATTATAGAGTAATTAGAAATGAATTCTGTACAACTCTTTCGAAATATGGTGAAAAACGTTATAAAATTCTCATTCTTGAATATTCTTATCGTTCTCATGTGACATTTAAAATATCTAACTCACGGTATTGCAGAACTCCCAAATGTGATGTCATCGTAAATGTGCAGTCTTTCTCTGAACCGAATAGTGGTAAAATATAAATCTAACAACGTTTTGAAATGTTGCACAGATGTTGCCTTCAACACAGGTTCATACAAACTGTTCCAAAGATTTGCCACTCTCCGTTCGAAGCACAGTGGCTGGGGAACATGTTTCACATCCGGCACGACAAATTTGTATTTGTGTCCGCGTGTGCTGCATGGCCCTCGTAAGTGCAGTATAGGCCTCAGCATGGGGAAGTCACCGAAATGTAGAATACGTTAGGTCATAATGAGGTCGACTCTCACCTGACGGCAGGCCAAGGTGTAGAGTCCTAGTCTCTCGCACCGGTATCATACCCCAAGCCACGTAAACTCGGGATGAGCCCGGTAGCAACATCTCGGGCTTCTTCGATCTTTTATGTCTCGTCTCGAGTAATCGGAAAGTAGGCGAGTGAACCGTACTCTAGCATTGGTCTAATGATGGAAGAGAAGTGGCGATTGGTAACGTCTTCAGACCATGTGCCGAAGCTACGTTTGAGCACCCAAAGCATGTACCGTCTGTTACTATATAGCCTGTTCGTGTTGTCCACGGACTTCAAATTGTAGCGTGAGCGTACACCTAGCTCCTTCACGGAAGGTGTTGGATTTAAGTGCTTGGCTGTCAAGGGTGTAGGTTCAATCGTCAGCACCCTTGCCCAGGCTCACAAATACGGACTTGGCTGGGTTCCTTAGCGTCCTATGGCAATGAAAACCAATTCAATCTCGCACCTATTCGTAGAATGTTATTGTGCAAAATGGGCTGTCCTAGGATAATTTGGTTCTTGGTTGGTACGATTCTCCTAGTGAGATGAACGAACGTGAGACAAGATGGTATCCCGCACGGAAAGTAGCTGACACAATTCGATTTCGCACGACACGATTTTACACGCACAGTTGAAACGTTCTCTTAGACCTAGCAGAACTCACACGCGACTCCAACCCATATAGATTAAAAAAAGTAGACATACCCTTCGTCCTAGGCGTTGTACTCGCCAGACCAAGCATTGACAGAGTAACCCAGCCTCGCTTAAACACAACGATTGGTGAAATGAGCTTTTAACGTAAAACGGTAAGTGAGGCTTAATTAAGCAAATTGGTCCTTTGGCCATAAACGGAAAATGGGCC